CAGCAGCCTGTGCAGGATGTGGCCTCCCACCAAGAGCCAGCACCAGCTTGCCAGCCATGGAGTGAGCCACCTGGGAAGTGGATCCTCCAGCCCCAGTCAAGCCTTTAGATGACTTCTGCTCCACATAACATTTTGTTGTTGTTGTTAAACACCCGGAGATATTTTTCCATTAATTTCTGGCGAGACTGGGATGGGGAGAGACAGAGAGAGAGAGAGAGAAAGGGAGAAACATCTATGTAAGAGAGATATATTGATTGGTTGCCTCCCACATGCACCCCCACCAAGGCCAGGGATCGAGCCGGCTGCCTAGGTACATGCCCTTGACAGAAATCAAAGCTGGAACTCTTCAGTCTGCAGGCCAACACTCTATCCACTGATCCAACCCGGCCAGGGCTCCACATGACATCTTGATGGCTACCTCATGAAAGACCCTAACCCAGAATAGCCCAGCTTGGCCACAACTCAATTATGAAAGGTCATAAATATTTTAAGCCACAAAGCTTTATATTTTGTGACACAGCAATAGATAATACAGTATATGAGTCTGGTTCACAATCGACTTAGGAAGATCCCAGCTTAAGGTGAGTAGAGGATCAGAAGAGGTTGGGTAAATGAGAAAATAAAATAAAAAGGGGAATAAGAGGGATGGAAGGTGAAAGGGAGAAAAGCAATTTCTCCTTCTACTCTGGTCTTCATTTATCTCTTCCTTCTCTTGATTTTTGTCCCTCGTTTGCTTTATGCTCTTGCTGGTTCTCATGTATACTAGCTTTATCTCACCATTTGGCCAGCTGACTTCTTAAGACAGAAACAAGACTCATATTTCTTCTATGTTCTTCATAATGCCCGATAGTGCCCTATACTAAGTAAACTAAGACATGTGTCTAAAACTGGAAGGCCAATTTATGACTCAGTAGCAGAAGGAACATTCTGACAGAGTTTAGCAGGAAAGTTGTGCTGAAACCTATAGAATTTTATTAACCAATGTCACCCCAATAAAATCAATTTTTAAAAAAAGGAAGTTGTGGTGGAGCATGAATTTCAGATGGGGATGAGCCATGGACAATATTTTGTATACTCTGGTTACCAAGCAGATTCTTAGAGAGTGTAGTAGACTGTTACTATTACTTTGGTGCCCCCTAATGAACCACACCTCCAAGTATCTATGTCTTTGTTTAGCCCCCTATCACAATATCTCTGAACTTGGCCATGTGATTACCTTTGTACAATGGGACATTAGCAAGCATGACACAAGTAGAGGCTTGATAAGCATTTGTACATTGAAGTCTGGAACACTCCTTCTTAGAACCCAGCTACCATGCTGTGAGGAAGCTCAAGCAGCCATGTGGAGAGGCCCACATAAAGAAGAACCAAGGCTCCCAGCCAACAACGCCAGCTTAGCCTTCAATCAGTAGGCAGTGCCAATTCTCTACCATTTGAATGATACTATTTCGGAGCTACCAGTCATCTCAGTACTCCAGCTGATACCACATGAAGTAACAAAATTATCTATTCAGCCCACAGAATCATGAGAAATAAATTGTGGTTGTTGTTAACTACTACGTTTTGGGGTGGTGAGTAACACAGCAATGGATAAACAAAACAAATACCAATCTCAAATCTGGAGTAAGACTATTTCTTAGGCCACACAACTTTCTCAGCCATGGCTCAGGAACCGACCTCAAACTAGAGTGTGTCTATTTACAAAGCCTCAGTTCTTTCTACCACTACCTCCAAAATCATGAGAGTCAGTGGATATGAAAGAACCTTACAAACTCCCAAGTGTCTTGCTAATGTTCTCTCTGGTGCAGACATCAAGGGTTGCTATTGTCTTCCTTCCATTTCTGCCTCTAATTGTTATTTTTGACTTGCATTTCCTTCTGTTTTTCCATATTTCTTGTTAAGATCTCTCAACTTCCTAGTGCTCCTTCAAACATCACTTGAGGCCAAAGGCACTCCTGAACCCTGATATAGCCATATTCTTTACTAGGCCTGAGTTCTGGACTCAAGCCTTGGTTTCCCCATCCAAGGCTCAGAGAGTATGGAAATCCCATCATGTCTCATAGGATTCCTGAGTAGACCCAGCAAAAAAAAAAAGGATAGAAAACCCTTTTCCCCCTCCCCCTTGTCCCCTTTTAGCTGCTCATCCATAATGCATTTCCCTGGGCTCTAGCCTCTCTACCATGACAAAACTTAGTCAACTCATCCGCTCCTCACTAGAACCGGGGAACAGGGAAGTCTAAATTCTAGATGAAGTCCTTAAAATGCTTTTGTGAATTAAGATAATGTGAATATCCTAGACCCCCTACCCTTTCCAGAAAAGTAAGTAATTATGTTAATTTTCCATGACCCCAGAACACAAGAAAACAGAACTCTCTTTTCACTCCAAAGATAGAAGTCATTTTATGACAAAACAGTAATGAGAAAGGAGGAGAGAGGAATGCAAGTAATAAGAAAATATCCCAACAATCTATATTATGAATATATATGTATATTTATATCTCAGCAGGCCCTGCAGAGTTACAGATGAGCTAATTAAAATGCTTATGCTTTTAGCAATGATGTTTATTGAAATCACTTTATAACCATCTAAATTGAGGTTTGTTTTCAGCTATAATGCAATGCTACCTGGAATATTCTGACCTAAATTATTTATGTGTCTAAAAATACATTGCCTTTCCCCATTACTGACTTTGTGGATATAGCTCAGGATGTGGAAATTTTTGGTGAGCTCAAGTGTCTCTCACAGGTTTTCCCTGAATTTTTGGTGCCTATTAACTTAGGTTCTCTGACTCCCAGCTTAATCTCTTTGCATTGCACCCTACCAAAACAAATGCATACATATGGCTGGAATGTCTAAAATAAGGGGCCGTGGGAATGATGAAGTAAATTTTGAGAAAGAAACAGATCCTTGAACTCAGCTCATAAAAATGAAGATTAGTGAATCCTCTTGAGTCTCCATTCCGCCACAGAAAGAACTCTCCAAGCTATGCCTGAAAGCCAGAGCTCAAAACAGAAAGAGAAACCGCTCTAGGTATTTCAAACTAAAAGGTATTTAATACATTCAGTATTAGGTACTCACCAAGCTGTGGAAGGGCTGGCGAAACAGAAGGTACAAGCATACCACAGGCTATTGAATTCAATGACAAATTACTGGAGCTGTAGCCCAGACTTCAGGAAGCTGCTGCCATCCTCCATACTCCTGCCATGATTGCCTTGAAGTAGCCTTGAACCTGATGACTAGAGAATGAGCTGCTGAGTCCAGCTTCCATAGATGCCTGTGAGCATGCACACTTTTATGTCCTTGCTTGCCAGGAGCAACAGCAGTAGGACTCTCCATCCCTTCCACCTTCCAGTTTTGCATGAGGCCATCTAATTGGCAGAACCTACGCTACTCACAGAACGCTGTCTGCACAGGAGTCTCGGGAAAGTGGTGTACTAGCTTTCCAACTCTACATCTAGAAGGAAATTAAATGGCATTTGAGAGTATCAATTCACCATACCTGCCACAGTCTGCCCCCTCAGCACTCATTGTCCAAATACAGCTTTCTACACATATTTAATCTTCCAAGCACCAAGAGCAGCAAAGCTGAACATAAGTGCCTGTCTCTCATACAACAGACGCACTTCACCTCTCCCCAAAAGGGGAGATTCAATGTCCCATTTGTCACTGGTTGGTCTTCATTTTCCTTCTAGTCTATCACACTGCCACCTTGGTATGCTGTAATCTAAGCATGTCATTGGCCAGTTACCCACCAACAAGACATTTTGAAATCTTAAGAGAAAGAGGTTAAAAGTAAATCAGTTGATACATAAACATATATGCATAACAGAGCAAGAAAGAAAATGTGAGAAGCTGCTATAATCCTTGTTTCTGCAAATGGTCATGAGACCAGAAATGGACTTCGAACTTCTTCCCTACATTACTATTCATGTTGCCTTAACTTTCTTTTTTTTATACTTTACATTGAACGCTTCAGAAAACATAATTACAATGATTCCAAAATGCAATTCCTGGATTAAATGAATATCCTCTATAATTATCTCCAATCAATATTTAAAAATGTATGCAGACACTAAGTCAGCTAACAAATAAAATAAGCAAAGTTACTATTGAAACTACAAATCTCAGGAAAGAGGAGCATGCATGATCAGTTAGGTCACTTTGCCAGTGTGTTGTTTTTTTTTAAAATACATGATTCACATTGTTCCAATCAAATCTATCTCCACTCCAAGGGTTACATTAGACCGCTGATACTAAAACTTAAAGCTATGATCTTTGTCAACTTAAAAAAATTTTCAGTTTAATAGAAAGAAATTCAGAAAGAAATTTTCAGGACTCTTGATCAGAGGCTTTCACTACTTGTCCTACACTGGTGTACACAGAGGTTCAGGGAAGACCATGAGGAGAGGTTCCCATTGAAGACATTGATCAAAGAAGCAAGTGAGCTAGGCAGTCTATAAACTAGCTAGCCATTAAGAAGTTACCAATAAAGGACTCATGTTAGTAACTAACCATGTTTAAAAAGCCTCAGCTTGCCCTGACTGGTTTGGCTCAGTGGATAGAGCTTCGGCCTGCGGACTGAGGGGTCCCGGGTTCAATTCCGGTCAAGGGCATGTACCTTGGTTGCGGGCACATCCCCAGCGGAGGGTGTGCAGGAGGCAGCTGATTGATGTTTCGCTCTCATCGATGTTTCTGACTCTCTATCCCTCTCCTTTCCTTTCTGTGGAAAATCAATAAAATATATTTTAAATAAATAAATAAAAAGCCTCAGCCAATGTTACAAAAACAAAACCTTTAGAGTATTATTTATTAATGCAAACGTAATTGTTTTTTGCTTTCTATACATAATCATCTTTGAAATGCTAAAAATGAGCTCCAACCCTGGTTCTGTTGAGAAACTGCAGGTGTACGTGAGATGATCTACTACTGATTTACCTTCTCCAAGTATTCTCTGGTAGGAGTCGGATGCGGCCTGATCCTACCTAGGAGAATCCGGGGTTCAATTTGCCGGGCAGACTTCTCCAGGGACTTCCACAAACTGCGATGCTTTCACCAGGCAGAGGGTCTCTCCCACGCTTCGGCCCATTGGGAGGTCACTGACACTCACATGCTTGCTGACTCCATTGGGGTCCATGACGAAGAGACCTCTCAGTGCAAGACCAGGGCCTTCTCGCAGCACCGCAGTCTCGGGAGATCCGCTGAGTCCAATCTGACAAACGTGCGATGTTCATGTGGCCCAAACCGCCCTTCTTCCTCGGAAACAGCGACAACTTCCCAGTTCACATCATGAAACGCACTGGCTTTGCCACGGAAAGCAATCATTTCTGGGGGACACACAAAGGTGAAATCCAGAGGATGGAAGAAGAGCACCACATATTTCCCCTGTCACCAGGCAGAGGGTCTCTCCCACGCTTCGGCCCATTGGGAGGTCACTGACACTCACATGCTTGCTGACTCCATTGGGGTCCATGACGAAGAGACCTCTCAGTGCAAGACCAGGGCCTTCTCGCAGCACCGCAGTCTCGGGAGATCCGCTGAGTCCAATCTGACAAACGTGCGATGTTCATGTGGCCCAAACCGCCCTTCTTCCTCGGTCTGTGATCCAGGCGAGAATGGCTGAGGTGGGAATCCCCGGAAACAGCGACAACTTCCCAGTTCGCATCATGAAACGCACTGGCTTTGCCACGGAAAGCAATCATTTCTGGGGGACACACAAAGGTGAAATCCAGAGGATGGAAGAAGAGCACCAAATAGTTCCCCTGCAGTGGTTCTCAACCTTCTGGCCCTTTAAATACAGTTCCTCATGTTGTGACCCAACCATAAAATTATTTTCGTTGCTACTTCATAACTGGAATGTTGCTACTGTTATGAATCGTCATGTAAATATCTGATATGCAGGATGGTCTTAGGCGACCCCTGTGAAGGGGTCGGTCCACTGCCAAAGGGGTCGCGACCCACAGGTTGAGAACCGCTGCCTTAAAGTCATCAAGGCTTAGTTCTTTGAACTCTCCATGGACAATGGCTGTGCCCTTAAAATAGGGTGCATGCTGGGTGACGGCGGGAGCATGATGAGGGGAACTGGTGCTCAAGGCCAATTTTGCTCGACTGGAAGCAGACCATGGGACATCTGTCAGCATGTTCCTCGAGAAGCACAGGCCTAAGGGCTGCAGAGGCAGAGATGCCCCAAGGAATGGCACTCACATGCCGGCAACCGTGACGCGGAACATCCATGACGCACTGCGACCATCTTCTGTTCACGTGGTGCGGTGAGGAGCGCCCCGGAAGCAGAGGAGGCGGGGCTGGATGGGCGGGGCCACACTGCAGGGGCGGGGCCTGAGCTGGAGCCCAGGCGGGCCCTTGTTGCCTTAACTTTCAACCATAACCAGTTGCTTTATCTGGTGAGAGTGCTCTGTTAAGACCTATAGCTATAGCTATAGCTATGCACACACGCGCACACACACACACACACACACACACACACGAAAAACGGTGGGGCAAAAGTAGATTTTTCTTTTTCAAAGTCTCTCTTTGTTTATAAACTTTCTAACAGAAACGGCTTCTATAAAGGAACTTATTTGTTGCCACAGAGCTCCTTTGTTCTCCGAAGTTACAACTGCCAAGTGGGCAGGTCAAAAACTCAGAAATGGCTTTCCACTGTTACACAGAAGAGGAGACAGGTGCAGCTGTGTGCCCCTGGGTGCAGGAGCCCAGGAGTCACATAATGGATGTCAGAACTACGTGAGGGCAGAAGAGGAATCCTTCCCTTTATTTCCCCGGAGACGGCAGCTCAGAAGTCTGGAATTAAAGGTGACAAGCCCAGGTGTCAAATGGCAGATTAGCTTTGTTCCAGAGATCCAGCAGGACTAAGGGATTTACACAGAGTGACAGTTTGCAGGCAGGGGCTGGTACCAAATGCCATCTAGAGCTCTCGCTATCTTAAAAACCGACTCCTGGGAGAAACTGCAGCGGGAAGCCTGAACATCAATAATGACCACAATCATAGATTATAGTAGTCTGGGTCCTCTGTGAGCCTCTTATATTTGGAAAGTTTAGCATTCATCCAGAATCTGATCAGAAACTCCAATTCCACTGGCCTAAGACATTTTTCAAACCAGTCCTGTAATCTGGGAAGTCTATTTCCTGATTAAGGTTTTGTTTGACGGCCCTGGCTAGAATTATTCAGTGGTTAGAAGTGTCAGCCCCCATACCTAAGGGTCATGGGTTCAGTTACTGGTCAAGGGCACGTACCTGAGTAGCATGTTCAATCCCCAACCCCAATTGAGGTGTTTGGGAGGCAACCAATCAATGTGTCTCTCTTACATCTCTCTCTCTCTCTCTCTCTCTCTCTCTTCCTTTATTCCCTTCCACTCTCTTTGGAAAAGCAATGGAAAAAATATTCTCGGATGAGGATTAACAAAAACAAATAAATAAACATTTTTTTGGCCAATGCAATCCACTGCCATCTCTAGGCATGGGAAAGGTAACAGCCCTGGTCAAGTGATCCATAATCAGAAATAGGGAATTGAACGAGCAGCATAACTTGCTCCCTTGCTCCCTTGGCCAACTGTCCTACTGCTGGAGGAAACACAGACTGTCATTGCATGCAATGACAAGGGAAACCTCACATCTGCAAAGCCTTCCTGTATGGTAACCCCAAGTGGCTCAGGCTCTGCTCACCTGTCTGCCCTAAGTCACCTCTGTAACTGTAGGTTAGCAACCCACCTCCCTGGATTATAATGTATGAAGTGCCGAGCAGGGGATAGATACCTGGTTCCCTATAAGGGCCCAGCCTCCTCCACATTTCCATAATTCTACATTTGATTGAAGTATCTCCACCTCCACTCCTTAAGCTCCTCCCCCTCAAAGTATTCTATTCTCTCTTCTAGGAATGCAAACCTGCTCCTTTAAGAAATATAGCATAGGAGAAGACCCACACCCAAATCTGGTTTACTTCTAACCATTGGCAAAGTTAATATGAGAAACAGTCCATGGCAGCAAATTAGGCCACTACTTAATGGCCTGGAATTCCAATTAAAGGAAGGAGCTTTATGAGGCTGCCTGTAAAGCAGTGAGGAGGAGTGTCTGACCTAATCATGGACCCCAGAAAGGCCACCTTAAGAGAGAGGGAAAGCAATTGCCCATCAGATTTGCCGTGGGCGAAAGGAAGCCATAAACTACTGGGAGATGGAGGCTCGTTAAAATGGTAATGCTTCTGTCTCCACCAGGAAAGCACTCCCTGGACACCTCCAGAAATGAAATGAAATTTGGAACAATAAAAAAACCAAGCATTTCCTCCCCTCATCCCATCTAATTATTATCATCTGATTTAATGATATGCAATGGGACCCATTAAACCTGGACTCATCTCTCCTGAGTGTGTGTCATAGTTTAAAGACACCTGCAGAAAAACAAGAGACCTAGAATCTCGATTATATAGGCTATTAGATAGGCTGTCAGGAGTAGTCAACAGATCTTATTCCCACTGACCCTGTCTCATATTTTATTGGGAACTTCCTGAAACACTAACCACCTGGAGGAAACCACACAAAGTGAAGTTGGGGAAGGAAGGGAGGAGGGTTACAATCTGTAGTCAGGAAAGGAGGGCAGGGCATGGAACCAGGACTAAGGATAAAGCATAGAATCAGGCAATAAACATAAATCAGAGAACTTGCAATATCTAAATTCATCATCCTTTCCCCAGTGACCCATCACCTAATCAATATCCAAAGCCAGAACTGGGTAGTTATCCTTAACTTCAAATCCATCACTTTCACTCATCAAGTATTTACTGACCACCTGTTCTGTGCCAGGCACTGTGCTGAGCACTGAAGACACAGAGTGAATGCTCCCATCTGTTCAGTCCACAGGTCCCCTGGATATCTGTCTCTGTGCTGACTGGAATCAGATTCTTAGATAAGAAATTGCAGGTCAACATTTCCTTAGGGAACACTCTCAGGAGATCCACCTGAACGGAGGGAGGATGACAGGATTGGACAGAGAGGCTCTCCCATGTTACAGTTACAGCTGAGACATCAGCTTATTCTACACAGAGCTCTGGAGATCAAATAGCCCCTTCAATGTTGTCCCACACTGAGGTCTTCATATACCCACATGAGACAGTTATTAGCCACGAGTGAATCCCTAGGCAGGGGTGTAACCCTAGACAAAGCGGTTCCCCATTGCTGAGGGTGATTCCCAGAGGACTCGGCTAAGCCATGAACACCAGAATTTCCCAGCAGCTCCATCGGCCTAGAGAGGGGATCAAAGTGGAACACCACAGTGTCTACAGCAAGACATACATCCCTGCCAAACTGAGTGTAGTCAGCGTTGGTGTTTAGGACATCTTGTCTCAGACTCTTCCCTGCCTTCGGTCTGGTCCCTTCCCCTCGTGATCTTTCAGTTTGTCATTTGAAGTATCCTAAATACCTGAATTACCTTTGAAATAACACTGGGATTCCCAGCTGAAGACTTAATGTAGGATTCAAAATCTCTACTAAAATATTTTTTCTCGTTTCATTTCAATTATATTTAAATTTTTTAATATAATTATATTTTGGCTCATCTGTATTTCCACTTTAAAACAAACTACCATCCTGACATTTTAGTGCCCACATTTGTATTCACTACCTACATGGGCTCCAGGTAGTATTATTTTAATTTCCCCAGGCAGTATCATTGTCACATTGAGAGTGGCAATTTTGCTTCCCAAAACAACTTGATCTGACACATTGAATTCATTTTTTTTATGTTCAGTTTAGTTTGCAGTTTTATTTGAATATGATTTATAAATTTTCTTTGGTTTCATAGTTGCATACGACGTATATATAATGGTTTTATAGTTGCATATACTTAGGTAAAATTACAATGAAATCAGTAAGTTAACACTGGGAGATTTTGAGAATTTCTCACCAAAAGATAAAGTTGGAGTTGTCTTAAATCACTGAAGTGCATGTCCTCTGTGGGCTCTCATGGTCTGGTCCCAGTTTACCCGTCCAACCCCCTCCTCACACTGCTTCCAGCGGACAGAAGGGTACGAATGTTGTTATGTTATACTTAAGTGAATTGTAGCCACTTTTGCCTTCCAGTGGGAAAGAGCTCTGTATTATTTGTAAAATAAGGAACTAGGCATTTGCTCTATGCCATCTTGCTAACAAATGCTACTAGTAAGACTAGAAAGAAAATGAAAAGGTTGAAATTTCAAAGCACCTCTACATCTTCACTTCAATGCCAGGTAAGCTGGTCCACCAGCCTCTCTTCTGTTGACCCTTCAGGCATGAGTCAGCCACCAGTCCACAGGGGCCCCTAAACTCCAGGGACCACATATCAAGGCTCCAAGGAGTGTCCTTAAATTACCTGTCACTGGACATAACCATCCTCTCCCTTTTCCCCAGGGGGATGTAGTAGAAAAATGTCACATCACTCTATCACATTCTTTCCAAGATATTCTTTCACTCTGTCTTTTCCAAACTCAATCATGTTTCATCCTCAAACTGAGGGTGGATTAAGGATCATAACACTGGTTCCCAATGTCCTCCTTCACAACCCAGCATAGATGGTCTAGCACCTCCTTTTAGAAAGTAGCTGTGGCGTAGTATTTTGTGATGAGATTTTGCAGCCTCTACTGAAACTAAGATAGAAAGAGTTCTATTTTAACTCTGTTAACTGAAGTGTAAATTCTATAAAACCTGGGTATAAATTGAGTAACAGAAGCCTGTTCTCTATAATTAAATAGCAGATTTTTTTTCACAAAGCTTAAGATCCCTTTCTTTAACTCAAGATGAGAATTCTGTTTCTATGAGGACATAAGACCCTGCCATGAACAGGCAGCATAAGGACTCCATCAGATCATCTGGAAAAAGAAAATTATACTAGAATGATGTGCAGTGAGAGAAGGAAAGGGGATCATTTGAGCAGAAGGTAATTTCCTGGTGGGCTGAGAAGATGACAAATACAGCATACAAGCAAGAAGAACTCAACATACAAGTAGCACTTCCACACACAAAATGGCTTCTCATGATGCCCAAAACCGAGTAGAACAGGATTCATGGCTTGGTTTGAGATGACAGGGAGCAAAATAGGCTTGGAGAAGTATGTGCACAACAACCCTAAAGAAACAAGTCTGAACAACAGATGTTTC